TTCAGAACTGTGAGGTCGAAACTAGGAAGTTTTCGATAACAGTTGATTTACCCTCGATCTCTCAAGCAAGCTTTTTAGTTTGGAGCTTGGCCCCGTAAATGGCTGACTTATGCTGAATCGGATTCGTATAGGCGAACCCTGAGGTTACGTTCTGCTCGGTGGCAGCACAGCTGTTATCCTGTCTGCATGGCAATGTGATCAGTTGTCTTAAGAGGTCTCATTCGAATTCCGCAGATGCTGGGTTCGATGCCGTTCGAGGACAACCTTTATCATATTCAAAAATTTCCTTGAGCAAGGAATCTACAACACACTACTGCAGACCGGGTTGGCAAGTTTGTAATGCGTTGAACTCACAACCGATGCGTCGCGAGTTCAAACCCCAGATGGGATCATTCGTTTTTCTTTCTTGAAATATGAGATACTTCTGGCTGATAACATAGAAAGGAATATCGGCACCACCGTCAATTTCATGAAAGAAAAAGCACCAAATTGCCCACTTATGAAGGTGAAAAAATACCGACATTCCAACAGTGGCAAATTTTCCTTCCTTTATGTCCAAATTATTGTGCTCAAAAATCTTGGCATTCAGATATGATTTTATATGGCACCCTCTTCTAACTATTCGATGAAAAAATGATGTCTGTTTTATTTTAATGTAATGTTTGCATTTAAACGCAAACTAACTAATCATGTTTTTGATCTGGTCATTTTGATTTTAACTTTTGTACAAAATACTTATGACGTCGTCTTGTTTATTACAAGAAACTAGAGCTTTGCTAATCAGCTTCAAATTGTAGATGCCTACCAAAGAATACGTGTGGCATCATCGAAATAAAAACGGATAAGGCAATTTGCGCTGAAACAGCGGATCAATGTCGCGAGCTCAGTCGTTTAAGTTTGCGAGCACTCGGACAGACGATCGCGGCTGGAATCGTTACGAAGATATATTAATATTCATTGAACAATAAACATTTTACTAGTGTTTTTAGTTTTAAATTTTCCTTCTACTTTTGGAAACTTCCTTATTCATTGTGCTCAAGCTTGAATGCTGAAAATCTTCGTCATGATTATGTCATCGATGATTTGTTTTCGTTCATGAATGAATAAAACGGAAGCGCGTGAATCGGTTAATTATAAAATCTTATATTAAAAACAGCGTGAGACGCTGTTTATGTACACATAATGCAAGTAGCTTCATCGGTCGATGCTCGACCTGTACTGACGTTTTAGCCCATATATCAACGGCTTTTTTCAAAGTAGAGAAGTGGATTAGTTTCGTAATGCTTTTCCTTCGGTGCTTATATTCAGCGCCAGAAGGTGAGCTTTTTGTCCATGCTGCTGGTTGTAGTGACAACGTTCATCCAATTCGCGCAGTTTTGTATTTGTCTAGGTTAAAGTCGTCGCAGGATTGGATGCTAAATATGTCTTCGACGCGTTTGTTAAGCTACTATGCTTTGAGAAGCAAAGTGGTGTCCCTTGTCGAATCAAATCGTTGACCTTTTTAAAAACTGTTGTTGACTTGACAGTGATGCATTGCTGACATAATAGTGGCTGTCTTTCAAAAAAAGGCAGGACGGAATGCTGTTCAAGCATGTGCGTCACTTACCTCCGTGGAATGTCAAAGGAAGCGCCGAACTTGAATACCAAGACCAAAAGAATTTATGTATTTATACATGCACCCGGCATCGTCTTCGGTGCAATGTCATAAAGAGAAAAAGAAAAAAAACGTTTTATAATTAAAATGATACCGGTGTATCGTGTCATTGTGTGTTGCGATAATGAGTTTTGCAGGTTTATTAATCGTAAAGTTCACGGAGAGCCTGGACGACCACACTACAGTCCAGATCTTTGTTGCCGTTTTTTTCACGCGCGTTTTAATATGGCTTTACAGCTGCTTGCCTTGTGCACTGCATGGTTTTAAACAGAAAACAATGTTGATGACCGATAATTAGAGAGGAACATTGATTGGTCTGTGACTTTGCGCCGATGCAGTATGGCTGCTTCAAAGCTGACGGGTACGCTATTGCAATATCCTATCATTGAGATGCAGACCGATCCGGATACTGAGATGCACCTACACCCATCCTTTGATACTTGGACAACGACCGAGGTCCGACTGAGGAACAACAGCAACCATCGAATGGTTTATTCTGTGCGCATGACTCATTCGACAGATTTCGTCGTCGTGCCATCCCGTGGTTTTCTTGATCCACACGACGAGAAATATATACGTATATCGCGAAAGCCAGACGTGGCCCCACGAGATCAGGATCGCTTTAGCATCGTTTATAGCACGATTCTGTCCGACGATCGCACGGTTGACTTGTCGATGTTCAATGATGGGTCAGTAGTGAGGAGAAAGACCATAACGTTGAAACAAGAAGGTCGGTTAGAACAATAAACTGTGAAAACCGCGCGTCGAAAGAACAGCTGTCACTTATTGAAACTCACAAAAAAAATATTCTAGCGAGAACTGTCCACTAAGTGGACTCAATATGTATTAAGACCTTTTTGTAATCGTTTTGCAATTGAATGTTTGAGTTTGCGGCCAAAATAAACAGTAATTTCATTTACTTTAAAAAAAGAGTAGGAAAATGAAAATAACGTGAGTCAGAAAAAATACAAAAGCAAGCCGATGTTCCCACGACAAATATATCGCCGGTCATCTAGCTAAAACTAAAAAAAAATTAAGCGAAAACGTGACCAACATGATAATGAAATTGTTTACATTTAAAAAGACGTCCCTGCCCACCAAACAGCGCGGTGCAGCAAGGTAAGTTAATTACTCGAACAGAATTTGAAAAAGTTGAATTTTCAGCAGTAGTGCAATAAGGCAATTAACGATCTCATTTTGTTGAAATATTGCAATTCTGGAAAGTGCAGAACAAATAAAGAACATAAATTAAGCGTATTAAAAATAAATAAAAATTTCATCCGGACAAATTTTTCTGCTCCAAGCATAGAAGAACACTTCTGATTCTTGCCCAGGCTAAATGTAGGGCATTGTTGACATCGCTATTGCTGTTCTTCTCAATTATGACTTTACACTTTTCTCTGTCTAATCTATCGAAATTATGGGTTTGATATCCTGAGCATCTTCTACCTCGTCTAGGAAAGACATGTATTTTACATCGGAATTAGGCTCTTAGGTTTGTAACAAGGCCAAAGATTTCACCTGTTGCAAAATCAGTCAGAGGATTGCCACTCTTCCGCTCACAGGTTTCCGTTTATTCATCCTGTCAATCAGATTTGATTCAATTAGTACGGACCTAAGCATGGGTCATAGAGTTGAAACCGAAATCGTTGTGAAATGCTTCCACAAACAAACATTCTGAGTTATATAACACTAGCATTTCGTTAACTACATTTAAACTATGTTCAACCGGTTCCTTGCGAAATCATGAACCAGTTTCGTTTTTTCTCCTGAGTGAGGAGATACTCCAGTTTTTCTAACTGTGAGCTCCCACTGTCGGTATCGTTGCTATGAAACCTTATCTGACGTGCTGCAATGGAACTGCGCTATCTGCCCCTTCCGTTCAAAACGGTCGGCGGTTATGTTATTGATCGGTATCACTGTCTCGGTCTTGTCGACCTTCTGCAGTCATTGCTATGCTGGTACACCCCGCAACTATCGGAAGGAATGCACTGATATCTAACTTTTCACCTGTCTGTCTTCGTTTTGCAACAACCTCCGGGGTCCCTGATAACCAGAATAACTACTGAGCTGTTACCTCGTTCGGTAATGTCAATAGCATGAGGGCGAGGTGGCCAAGTTTTATGGAAGACCTCGTCATATTCTAAAATACTCGTTCTTTCTTCTCTGGCTTCGAACTACAAACGGCGATGTTTTAAAGGTTACTTTCCGTGGACTCAATGTGGCACGGACATTTAGTGAAAGCGACATGCTGCCTGGAAATTGGAGACGTCTGTTCTTTTCACTGCATTTTTGTTGTCGTTGCAAATCTGCTTTTGTTTTAGGCATAATTCATTTTCTTTACCTTCATTACACAAAACTGTATTTACCCATTTGACACCTTTATTTGCTGACTGCTTGCAACGAAAAGTCAATAGTCATTTTGAAATTGACCCCGTAATACCGGTTTTTCTGGAAAGAAAGGAAAGGGCGTCAAGTGAGATGGTTGGTTTCGATGGTCTAATTTCATTTGCCCCCTAACATTGCGCCCAGGAACTGCGTGTTTGAAGTTGGAAATGATGGCGCTAGCTAGGATCTTTAGCTTGCTTCCGTGCCTCATCATTAGCTACACAGTCCATGCAGCAATAAAGGCCGAACCGAAGGTAGGTAATTCATGATATTTCGTTCTATATATTTGCACCGTTCACTTTCCATAAACAGACTAAGGTTTATTTTAAGTCTGTACTAAATTTACACCTGTAAAATCTAGTAACTTTTTAGAGAAGTTAAGTGTATATTAATTTGGTGTATTTCAGTGGTAATTTTTTTTTGAAATACGGCAAAATGCTGCTTACATACCGTAACTACATAACTGATTGTCAACTTTATGATTCCATGGCAAAATTTCAACCATATGACACAAATATTCTAAAGAGGGAAATTTGCACTGCATGCTGTAGGTTATTGACTGCATATAACGCCTTTTAAATCTAAAATCAAGCTTTATAACTAAAAATAACCCGCTTTATATGAGAAAGGTGTTTAAGGCATGGAATTGTACTTAAATTACCGATTCCGCATTCATAATCACACGCGCTATTCAACGGATACTTTGTCACAAATTAGGGTAGCTCCACTGATAAAGCGTCATCCTCACGATCGTGGATTCGAATGTAGATCTGGGCAACTCGTCTGATCTTTTCGAAGAGGATAAATGATAGTTTTATACGCAACAGATTCAAATAGCCGTACGTTGTAGCAACCATCCCCCGCAGATTTTAGAAAACAAAGCAGCCCTAGCTGATTGCATCGTAACGAAGTTAAAATCCAGTAAAAAAAGTACTTCTGCAGATCTAATTCATTATGAAAATGTGCGGTAAACGACTGAAGACCATGCGATCTAAACCTTTCATTTTTTATTTGCTTTTTATACAGAAAAAAACCTTATTTTTCTCATCATAAAAAAATGACATGATATGGCGATAAGTATTTGTTGTACCAGTCACCATCTTTCTTCAACGAGGAAATGCTGTGCTAACGAATAGTTGTAAGATCTGCTTATGTTTTAATAACATTATTCATGCAGAAAACGAATATATGGATCCCTACTTTGGGTCAAATCACTGAGGCCAGCAGCTCTCCGCAAAGAAAGCACGGAGAACTTTTCACCCTGTGGTTTATTCTCTGAACTCTAGAAATGAAAAGAAAATCTTTCAAGTGATTTGGAACGTGAAAAGTCGGAAAACGATGCTTAAACCCTTGCATTCGCATCATATCATGATAATTTTGAAAAATAATGACGTATCATTATCATAAAAACTGGAAGAGGCATAATGCGCAGTCATGAATTGTTTTTTCTGGTTAATTATAATTTTCACTGCGTGGCATGCTTGATGCCCACTTTAGTCAATTAGCAGACATCGCCCTTTGATTTTAGTTCAATTCGTTGGACGAATGACTTCTCCAAGACTAAATTTCATGGCATGTTCCACTGACTGGCCTTCATTTAACAGTTCTTCAGGCAGGTTGAGTTCTACCAGAACACAAACACCGGCCTGAACGCGTTTCGTGAAAGTGAAAGTTGAGCAGAATAGCTACCATGCACAAAGGTCAGAAATCCAGGGCTCTAGTTTTTCATTGAACTGAATCTACTTTTGTCCAGTCAGTACTTTGCAGTCGCGTCCGCAACGCTTGCTCTTTGTTTCTGAGTGCTGAGGTGCAAAAATTGCTGACTGTGAACTCGCACTGTCACTCTCGTTCTCGTGAAGCCTTATCTGGCCTGCTGATATTGCCCTCTCTGCGTCCCTTCTTCAGAACGGGCAGAGTCTCCGGTGCTGAATGAAACTTCGTATTTTTCTTGTCGACCTTCGGCACTCGTCGCCATTCTGCTACTCCCTCAGCTGCCAGAAGGCGAGAATCTGGTTCTGACCACCGACTTTTCGCAGCCCGCCTCAGTTCCCTAACAGCATGCTCCCCGTTGCTAACCTGGGCATCCACTGAATCGGTATAACGTTCGATGACGGCAGTACAATTAGAGCAGATAGCTAAGTTTACAAATAAACTTACCATGCTCTCCAACCGTTTTTGTTTCTTTTCTGTGCGTAGGACCGGCAACGCCAGAGGTTAAACAAAACTAGGAACCAGTTGTCATAGTCGACGGATCCAAATGCAATCATGCGACAGATAAGAAAGTATGGCCTTTTACTATATTAATAAGTTAAAAATGAGTTGATCTCATAATAATGATAAATGATCTCATATATTGCATGAACTGCAACGAGTTGTGCCATATTTTAAGGGGTTTCATTAGGTAATCGAGAGCCGCCGGTCAAGTACCATGATTCAATATTATCAGACCTGATCAAGCAATTTGAAAAACAGGGCTTCAAATTAATGGCAATTCACGTACTTCATTTATAAAAAAAATTTTGATATTATTATATGAAGAAATGAGTGTTGACCAGTCAGTTTTTTTCTTATGCTTCTTCGTAGTAGTAAGTGGTCTCACCATGAAAATTGACTAAAATATAATTAGTAAAAACGGCTATTTGTTATTTTACGTATACGCAATTAATGTCTTTTTTTTATTCTATTAAATATTTAGATTTATCGTGAAGCTGTGTGCATTCTTCAAGGCATAAACGTAACTGGAACCATCTACTTCAAGCAGGTAGAAATCGTTTTGTATTTCTCTGCGAATATGGTGTTATATTAACCTCACATTGAGGATTGATTCATCGGATTCAGAATTGATTCATCAGATTCAGCAGTGCTACAACTAAGTTACTGCCGTTCCATTTGCATGCCATAAAGCTCGGATCAATTGATATTCGGAAATCACGATTGTTTTTCTGTTTCACCGTAGTTCTACTCCTGTTTTAGTCATCAAATATTTACAGTTCTTTTTGCTTCTGAGTTGATCTGCTCCAGTCAGATAATAAAAGGCGTGTTGAAAGTATTTCATCATGGGTTACGTCTGAGAAGCGGTAGCTCACAATTACTTTCTCCAGGTTAGTAGTTTGAATTTCCATTTCTTAAATAAGTCAACAATATAGGCATAATGAGTTCTGTTAGCCTCATCTAGCATTGGCTAGTTATTCTGCCTCTGGAGAACCTGACGGGTATTCGTGCCAGTGCTGTTACTAAAGAGTATGCGCTTTAAGTACTTCACCATGCCAAGTTTTTCTGTATTTGGCAAATGGCGGCACACCTCAACAAAGAGCTTAATTTGGATTATGTTAAGCTACTATTGAACTACTTGTTTCAGTAAAGCCTAAGTAATAAGAAGTTGAATCTCTGAATTCGACTTTGTTCCTGTGCATTGTAAAGTACGTGAAAAGTTCTTTGCAGTACCATCGTCCTTGAGAACGTGATTTCAAATCAAGGCGATTCATGTTCTGATGCCTTTAGGAATCCTTGAACGGTCCAACACGAATTTTTGGCGAAGTTGCTGGCTTAGTACCCGGAAGTCACGGCATGCACATCCACGAATTTGGTAACATGCTGAATGCATGTGAACTCTTGGGTGGGCATTACAACCCGCTGAAGAAGAACCATGGATATCCTAATGTAAGCGTAACTATATTTATCGCTGCGCTGGTATCATGCGATATTTATCGATTTATATATTACAAAACTTTGCGTACTAGTTTTAAAAAAATTTTATTTTCACTGCTCGCAATATAATGTTATGGACGTACAGTGCTGGCATTAAGGACACAAGAAACCGGCACATTGGTGACTTAGGAAATATCGAAGTCAATAGAACAGGAATCGGCGAAGTGAACTCGATGAACAATTTGGTGTCGTTGGGTGGTCCATATTCTGTCATTGGTCGATCATTCGATATACACGAAAATGAAGACGATCTTGGTAGTTGCTTCGTATAACCGTATGATATCTAACAGTTATGGATTGCAAATTATACAGTATTTCATATCCGAATGTGAAGCATGGGATATTTTGCGTTTATCAGTTCAGTCCTTTCATTCTGATTCTCATGCATCTCGTTGTCGACGTTTTCACATTACAAGGTGTCAGTCATTCCGTTCCATGCTTCAAATACATTTAGTTACGATGCGCTCATTTTTAGCTCCTTTCGGTTCAAAAGGCTTTTCGCGAACCTCGTGCAAATATGTGGAATGTGCCTGTTCTAGACTCCAGTTGTCTTCTGCCGAGGCTCAGTCTCTGGCATAGGATCGGGAACGTTGGAACCACTGTCTGACGTGTGTGCATCTGCGAACTGAAAGGAGTAGCGGCGATGGAAGATGAAGACGAAGACTTTTCGCCACTGATGTTTATGGAGTAGCATATTAGGAGTACAAACTACTCAAGAAACATCGTTCGTAATGAGTGTGATCTGCTCTAACAAGCGATATGTTGCGAGATGCATCTGGCACTGTATATGCTCAAATACTGCGGAGCTATGACCTGCCTAAATAGTCCCATTAGGCAAATAGGAGCAGGTGCATTATAATATGCCGAGAAATCTGGTCTTTGAGGAGTGATGAGTTATGTGACATATAACCGTTAATGAATTGACTGCTGTCGCCCATGACGTGTCTTACGCTATCACCTCTTAAATAGAAAGGAAAGAGGATCGTAAGCAATTTGACTCTCAGTGAACAAAGTGGCTGTATTGTTCTAGTAGACTACACCGCAGTACGTTTAGGTAATGACGGCAACGCGCAGAGGCTGAAGAACGGAAACGGCAGCGCAGACAGCGTTGCTTGCTGTGTCATCGGACTGAAGCAACCGAAATGAGTCACGCGTTTGCGTTTCATGCCAAATGTTGGAAACAATTTGATTTTATCGAAGAATTTACTTGTAAACACATTTGAATCGAATTTCTTGTCAATTTTTATACAATGAATATTCAAAAAGTATTTCTTTTACATGTATAGAACGCAAGAATAACAATGAAATTAACGAAAATAAATTCGTCTTTCATGAATGGTGGATCATTTACTGCATACTAACCACGGCATATGATGATTTAATCACCAACTTCACCAAATATATCCATTATCTGTTTGTTTTCGCTATTATTAGCCTGAACTGTGCATCAAATGCGCATTGATTAGCATTCGTTCAAAATATAGGCAGGCCCATATGATAATAGAATAAGGAGCAATGGTTAGATGTCTGTAAATTTGTAAATTTAATAAGTGAACCTTCCATACCCTACAACGGTGTTCCTTTTTCAGCGAAAATTAATTTTAATTAGCCATGCCTGACAGTAGATTACCGGCAGCCAGTCAGATATCTAGTCTGAGTAACGAATTTCTTCCCACAAAACTCGTCTCTAACTTGTTCCTTAGTCAGGCCATATTTCTTGCTGTTAAATGGCACGAAGGCCATTTTTTAACGAACAACGGTTGAATAGCATACAATAGACCACGTTTGACACACAGTGGGATTTAAATAGCAACGATTATACTTTCCTTAGGGCACATTTGTCTTCAATGGATGTGCAGATTAATAAAATGAGAATGGCCCAGTTAAACTAACTAGTTTGCGATAAAAGTATAAACCCTTCGCTTCGCCAACGAGCTTTCAGTGAGGAATCTAAACCACGTAACTGTCGATCAAAAAGTCAATAGCAATAAAAAAAGATGTACGCTTGTAAATGAATTATTCTTTCTATGATGCAGTAACGGATTATGTCTGACAAGTGCTGGAAATCTGAGAGTGCAGCGGAAGTGGCAAACCACATATGTTATGCTAATGCAAACGACGGAGTAGCCAAGACAGCGTGTGCTCTGATCTGCTAAGTCAATTACACTTAAATGGCTTTCAAAATAATTAACATTTTGGAAAATTTACCCAATTAGTAAATATTGACAAGATTCTAAATGACATGATTCTAAATGGCCGTGGGAAGTTGTTTGTTGAGATCATCACCTTCAACCGTTTGCATAACCAGAATGTTCCTTATTTGCGATATCCTCTGTAAAATCAGCTTTTCAATACTTTTGCAATATGGCCCTTGTCACTGCATCGACAAAGAAAATATTCTTCTTTGAAAGCAGCTCTGAGTCTACCTCATTCTCAACGTAGCATGCTGGCCTCAGGGTCCATGTCTGTTGTAATTTGACTCCCACTTGAGGAGGTCTCTAGCTAAATTGAATCGAGCATCCTCATATAGTTGCCTAACAAGGCCAACCTTCGTTTTTAAATCTCCACATCTACTGAGGCTTCCGGTGCCCGGAAGAAAAGATTCATTTAATCCCCGTTACACATCGAAGCCAATGCTATTGTACGTAGCTTGACAGCCGTCCTTGCTCGTTCATTGAAACAACTGTCTCCATGCCTTACTACAACACTCACCTGGCACAAGCAAGGTACTGGCGGATTTTCACTGGAACAGTGACTCCATTCTCAGTTCAAATATTGGACAGGTTTCCAAAAG